TGCTTCACTACTCTTTTTGTGAAGGCTTGATTGCATTGCTTGTTTCCACTACTCTTCCATGGAGACCAAACTTTCGATCTGATCTTGCTTCACTACTCTTTTTGTGAAGGCTTGATTGTATTAACTTGTTTCCACTACTCTTTCATGTATACCGAACTTTCGATCTGATCTTGCTTCACTACTCTTTTTGTGAAGGCTTGATTGCATTGACTTGGTTCCACTACTCTTCCGTGGAAACCAAATTTGCAATATTGAAGAAGCTTGTACTACTCCTCTTCCATTGGCTTGATTACAAGTGCATCGAGCACTCTCAATATGGTATCATTCGCTGTTACGTCCTAGGGTGTGCTTTCGCTGCTATGGATCACAATACATCGTCTTCAGCCACATCAATGGAGTTCTCGTCAAGAAACACCAAAGTATTCACCAACAAAAGGGTGAACGTCGTTATTGATGAAACAAAATTCCTGCTGTGGAAACAACAAGTCCTGCTCACTGTAAGGAGCCATCGCCTTGAAAGAATGCTCAATGGTACAATGTTGTCGCCTCCAGAAATAGTTATTGGTGAAGATGGAGTTGCAGCAGTTAATGAAGAACATGAAGAGCTCTTGGCTCAAGACAGTGCATTGGCTTCTTGGCTGCTTTCAACGGTTAGTCCTCATCTGCTTCCACAATTCGTTGGTGCTGAAACGTCTGCCCAGGTGTGGAACAAGGTTTTATAGTTCTTTGCCAATCGCTGTACCACTGCCATCATGAGCTTAAATTACAAGCTCCAATCTCTCATAAAAGGAGGAGATAGCATGAGAACGTATCTCACAAAAGTGAAAGAGGTCACTGATGCTCTGCACTCGTGTGGAAGTCCAATATCAATTTCTGAGCACGTTGCGAGTATTCTTAGGGGCCTCACAAGGGAATATCAACCCTTCATCGCAGTTATATCTGCCATGCGTGACACACTGTCACTTGATAGCATATGCACGATGCTTGTTGATGCTGAAATTCAGCTTGAAGGTTTCGATTACCAACCTGACTCTTTACCTGTCAGTGCAAATCTTGCGCAAGGGAAAAGTGATACTGACTCTTATAAGAATCGGGAAAAGCAACAACCTCGATCAAACCATTCATCCTACATGCGTGGTAGATCTCATGGCAGGTAGAACACGACCTAGAGTTCAGTGCCAATTATGTGGCAAGATTGGCCATCTTGTCAGCCAATGTTGGCACAATTTGATGAGGAATTTTCTGGTATATCAATTGATGATCACACATCTGGCCTTGACTCCTCAAAGGCATACTATGCTATAAACAGAAACAATGAGAGTGCATGTGCTTGCTGTAACCTCAGCAACACGCATCATGATGATAATAGGAGTAGTGCTAAGAGTCAAGCACATTCAGTATCTGCTGGCCAAGACCAATGGGTAATTGATTCCGGTGTAACACACCATGTAGCTTCCAACGCAGCCTCAATCACACCCCATTCGAGCCACTACAATCCTGGTAAGTTGATGGTAGGAAGTGGAGACTATCTACCAGTTCACTTGGTTGGTAAGGCTGAGCAATCTACTTCCTCTAGAACCTTAGCTTTAAGCAATATTCTACATGTTCCTTCGATAACTAAAAACTTGCTTTTTGTTTCCAAGCTTGCTAAAGATAACAGTGTGTACCTTGAATTTCATGCCCAAACGTGTTATGTTCGAGATGAAGTTTCCAAGACAATTCTGCTACAAGGAGAAGAATACAATGGATTATATACCTTCAAAGCAAGTGGACCTCATTGCAAGAGTAATACGATCGAAGTTCAAATTGCCATAGCCTCCTCTACAACTTCTGAAACTTGGCACAGAAGACTGGGTCATCCAGCTTATAATACACTTGTTAAAGTTTGTAAACAAGTAAATGTAAAAATGGTTGATGATGTTAATAAGAATTGCATTGCCTGCCATTTGGGTAAAAGTCACAAGTTGCCATTCTCTCATTCAGACAGTATTTACAATGAACCATTCGAGCTTGTGTATTCTGACCTATGGGGTCCCCCGCATATCTCGTCTAATGGCTTTAGATTCTATATCTCCTTTGTTGATGCTGCTTCTCGATTCACGTGGCTGTATCTACTACGAACAAAGGTTGAAGCCTTAACTGCATTACACTTGTTTCAAAAGTTAGTTGCTACGCAGTTTGGGAAATCAATCAAAGCTATCCAAACTGACTGGGGAGGTGAATTTCGACCCCTAACCGAAGAGTTAAGCAAAGCTGGAATCATTCATCGCCTCACCTGTCCTCACACGTCTGAGCAGAACGGTGTGGTGGAATAGAAGCATAGGCACATAGTTGAGATGGCCTTAGTATTACTTGCACAAGCCTCCATGCCTATCAAGTTCTGGTCGTATGCCGTTCAAACCACTGTACATCTAATCAATAGACTACCATCAAAGGTGCTATTGATCAAGTCTCCTTTTGAGATGTTGCATGGGAAAATACCAGACTACAGCTCACTGCGGGTGTTTGGATGCAGATGCTTCCCACATCTAAGATCGTTCTTACAGCACAAGCTCGAATTCAGATCCCAGCTGTGTACAATCTTAGGCTACAGCACCCAGCACAAAGGATTTCTGTGCTTAGCCGGCAATGGACGTGTTTTTGTTTCCAGGCATGTTGTTTTTAATGAAAGTATATTTCCTTTTGCAGATAAATTTGGCATAAGTTCAGTTGCAACCTCGAATGGAAGGACATCTCAGTCACTCAAGCTGGTCACCAATGTAGCGAGGTTACAGCCTTTACAACTTGAACATAACAGGTTGTCCCTCAATGATGCCAGCAGTAGCTACTCATCGAGTAACTTGCAAGGTACAAATGCCAGTCATGATATGATAGACACTGAGGCTGTTCCTGAGGTACCAGCAGTAGATGTTCATGAAGACGATCAACATGAAATAACCTCACAACAAGATGTGCAGGACCCGACTACAAATAATGACACTGAAATTGAGGTCACAAATGATGGCACAAAAACTGAAGCCAATCGTGTAAATAGTCATCCGATGATGACTCGGAGCAAATGTGGGGTATTTAAACCCAAAGTGTATATTGGAGCTGCTGTTGATGATGTTCCGCAGTGTTCATGAAGCACTTAAGTCCCCAGACTGGAAGGCATCTGTTCTTGAAGAGTACAATTCCTTACAACGCAATGAAACCTGGGAGTTAACCAAGCTACTCGAAGGAAGGAAGGTGATAGGCTGCAAATGGCTATTCAAGATCAAAAGAAATCCTGATGGCACTGTCCATCGTTACAAGGCACGCTTGGTGGCTAAGGGATTCTCCCAGATCCCTGGCTATGACTTTCGGGACACATTTAGCCCTGTAGTCAGGTTCAACACACTGAATTTCATCATGTCATTGGCTGTAACCAACAACTGGACCTTAAGGCAAGTGACGTCAATAATGCCTTCTTGAATGGCGATCTTCAAGAGGTAGTCTTCATGCAGCAGCCACCTGGTTTCGAACAAAATGCTCCTGATTGAAGTAAGCAAGAGTGTTGTTTGAAAAAGACGTTGTTTGGCTTGAGGCAAGCTCCGAGGAGCTGGCATACCAAGCTACGAGACAGCCTGTTGAGCCTTGGTTTTCAAGGATCAAGAGCAGATGTATCTTTGTTCAATAATAAGGAAGGTGTGCACTTTGTATATCTACTAGTATATGTTGATGATATCATCATCACAGGCCATTCAAGTACTAAAGTGGATGAAGTGGTTCGATTGTTGAGTGAGAAGTTCTCTCTAAAGGATTTAGGACAACTCTCGTAATTCCTAGGCATCGAGGTTAAACGAAAAAATGATTATCTAGCACTGTCATAGAAGAAATTCATCATGGAACTTCTTGAGAAAGCTGACATGTTAAAAGCTACTACAACACCGACTCCTATGGTAGCATCCACTAAGCTACAGTCTAATGATAGATCCAATCGCTGATGCTCACTCCTATCGCAGCATAGTTGGTGGTCTTTTGGATGTGTGTCATACAAGGCCAGACATTGCGTTTTGTGTAAACAAAGTTGCCCAGTTCATGCATGATCCACGACAGTCGCATATGGCTACAGTTAAGCGAATCTTGTGGTACTTGGTTGGTACAATGAATTTTGGCTTGGTGTTCACTGCTAATGGAGCTGGTGTGAAGGTGGCCTCCTTTGCTGATGCAGATTGGGGAGGCAATCTCGACGACAGAAGGTTAGTATCTGGACACAGTGTGTATGTTGGAAACAATTTAGTTGCTTGGAGCTCGAAAAAACAAAAATCCATTTCTCGATCCACAATAGAGGCTGAGTATAAGAGTATCGCTGACACTACAACAGATGTAGTGTGGATTGGAGCTTTGCTCACTGAGCTTGGTGTTAGTCAAAAAGAGGAGCCCGTCATATGGTGTGACAACACCAGCGTCGTGGCACTCAGCGCCAACCCTATTTACCACACCCACACTAAACATGTTGATCTGGACATATACTTCGTGCGTGGCATCAGGTTGCTGATGGACTAACCAAACCTCTGGCTCGAAATGCATTCAAGGAATTTCGTACAAAACTGTGTGTCAAACTGTGTTGAGAAGCAAGAGCGAAGAGAAAGCAGGGAGAATATTGGAGTAAGTTGAAGACACGTGCTGGCGTACTTGTGCATGACCGTTACTGGCTATAATGTGCGTGTGCAACAGATTGTAGCTCTTGCAGCTGTAGCAGTTAATGTTGTTAATCAGTTTGAGTTTTGTTAGAGTAGTTAGAGTTCAGTTAACTACTTGTAGTCTTGATTGATTCTTGAAGTCTTGCCAGCTATATAAAGCTTGTAAAGGTTGATGAAAAGCAATGAAGAAGAGTGTTATCAACTCTAATATGTTTTTGTCAAATACAAGTGCATCGAGCACTCTCAACAATTTATTGGGATTTTTCTCTGAAGCATTCTGTTCTCTCTCTCTCTGTCTTTTAAATCTGTTGATTCTATTTCATGTACAGGTGAAGGAGGTAGCTCCAACAGCAAGGAGAAGAGATGCGAGACTGTCCTTTGCATTTTTATATCCCGATAAGAATGGACGTTTTGTGGTGAGCGAGGTTAGGCTTTTTCTCTCAATAACTCTTTCCAAATAGTTCGTATGTTATGATGACTTATTTTGGTTAATTTATACCTTGGCTCCTCCTATACAACATTGTAAAGCCAAACCTTGTCAGCTTAATACGCTTTAAGAGTATTACGTGTAATTGATGCATAAGTTGTTTAGGCTTGTGATATATTTTATTTCTCCGTCAGGTTGGGAAGACCTTTTCTTACGGTAATGGGAGGCGATTGGATGACATCAAAACCTTACAAGAACTTCTCTTCGAGGTAGGCAGAATCTCACTTACTGGCATCAGTTAGTTATTTTAGGTATGGTCAACTTTTATCAACGCTTTTTGTTCGTATACAGATGGGAGATTACTTAGACGTGGCTATTATGTGAGAGAAGCAAATGTACAAGATGCATGTTTTGTTTGTAAAAGGTAGAAAAGGAATCCAACCCCCTTCTGATAGGGAAGCTTTGATGCTGCTCTAACTCTGAATTGTTCATCATTTGTAGTATTAAATCATTAAAATAAAATGTAAATACATAATTAAGTGGAGTTCATGCATTAGTAAGGGTAAAATTATAATTTGCTTTTAAATGCAAAGTTGAAAATGAAAAAAAAAACTAGAAATTTAGTTTTTGTGGTTGGTTTCAAGCAATCGTTTCCACCACAATTTTTTCTTCATTTTTTACCTGTTTAACAATGATTTTACGGTAAAAATGGACTTATTAACAAAAAATACTTTTAGAAAAGTTTATCAAACGGATCCTAACAATCATATAAATTGTTTTTTAGCCCAATAGAGCAAACAAGTAAATTATTTAGGAAAATAGAGCAAGTAGAAGTTTATTTTGTAATCTACGATATTCTCTACAGCGTTTATGGAACTCGTCACGATGAGATGGCAAATTCTAATAAAAATATATTTTTTATTCAAAATCGTTATCTCGAGGTGACGAGTTTTAATAAAATAGATTTTTTATTAGAACTCATCACCTAAAGTGATGAGTTCTATGTACTATAAAAAATTAATATAGATACTAAAATAAAAGTTTCTGTGCCATATTGTACAATTTTTTTTTTCGGACTGACATTAAAAATACACACTCATACAAACTGATTAATCCATTAAAACTGAATTGATTTGATTGTCAAAATAGAAATAACTAAACTAAACTTTCGGGTTTTTATATTTGAATTATTTGGGATATATTTTAATTTTTTGCAGTTCAGTTGGATTAGGTTTTAAGTGGATTGGGTATTAGTTATTGCATATTGAATATTTAGTTGCATATGGATAAATCAATTTTATTTGTTGGACTAGTCTGAGGCACCAGTGTGTCTCCTATTTTTTCTTAAATTTTAATTTTCGTACCACTATATAAATATTATCGACTGTTTTCAATATCATAAACTGTTACATTAATATTATAACTGTTATCATCTGATTCAATTAGTTGATTTTTTCTCTCTTAACTTAAGGATAATATTAAATAGAAAACAAATTTATGAGACACGTTAATTTTCTTAAAGAAAGTTTGAGAGTCTAGATGCTATTAAGCCTTATTTTTTTTTCAATGTCTGATAACAAATGCTAAAAACAATTGATAGATTTTTTTTCTTCTAAAAATGCATTGAAAAAGAAAGGTAGATTAGAGGTTACTTATTACATCAGATAATAGATTCATCAATTATCAAATTTTATTATTTTATTTTCCTTTAAATAAAAATTTTAGAATATAATAAATTACATTAATTGCTTTTATTATTAATTTATATATTGTTAAAAATATTTTTATTAATTTAGAATATTTTATTTTTAAAATTTATAGTTATTAAATATTCAACAATTACTTTTTTAAAATACGAAACAATTTTTATAATTCTTGACATTTAATTTATAAATTTATCAAATGAGCTAGATTACCATAGGCCCCCAACAACAAATTTACATTTATGTCCATCTTCAACTAGTAAACCAAAAAGTAAAATTTGTGAAGGGCTTTATATCTCTGTTTCGTTTTTATCTTATTTCCCACATGATCTAATTTTGTATTTGATTTTTATTTTTAGAAAATTAATTCGGGAATCGATGATTAGTTCGTTATTTTGATTACTAGCCATAAACAGACATGAGTCATAAGCACGTCCGAAATACAATTAAAGGAATCTAAAGCATAATAAAAAGTGGCTTATATTTTTTTTGAATTAATCTGGTATCTGATCTATTGATTGATTAATTCAGATAGGATATTACAGAAGCGAGAGCAACCCTCTTAACCCAGTTTACTCCATTCACAAATGTCAAGATTCGAACCTCTAACCTTACTTAAAGAATCCAGTGTCTCATCCCACGAGACCAACTAGTTGTTGGTAAAGTGGCTTATCTTTTTGTTGATTTGGAGTTTTGATTACTGGATTTCATTCTGATTTAGTTAGATATTTGGAAAGTGCAACTTAAGTTACACGACATTTTTCTTGAATAGTGATGCTCGTAGTTAGTTTCAAGTTTAACTCGAAATTCGTCCCTACATCTGACCTAATTGATGCATTATAATACAACTTTTGTTGAACTTCCTTGTGACTATAAAGTTGATATATGATTTCAATTTTGGTCTTCTTGCCTTTTCAATGGTTCAAACATTTTGGCGTCTTTTACTTGCTCTTTGTGCCAATTGATGCTTATTATGCACACCAAGATAATGTTCAAAGTGGTCTTAGCAAACAAGTTTCTCCTTTTAAAGCCTTGTCCATTGTCATTGCTTATAACTTAGACTGATAGCTTCTTTATATTCAACTCTGCACTATTTTAAATGCAAATGCAACTGATGTTTGATTAAATACTCACTTTTATTTATATTCTATTTTTAGAGTATTTTGATCTTAATATTTCATTTTAGGATAAAATTGATCCTAACGTTTGATTAAATAGTCTTTAATTCTTATTTTTTTTAACATTTTGACCCAAAGTTTTATTTTAGCGTAAAAAGCCCCTATTTTGGCACGTTAACCGTCTGTTGACTAATAATTTGTATCCACAAAAGAGTCTTTATACTTTAAAATGAAAACGTTGAGGGTCATATGGTTTTTTTTAAATAGTGATAAAAGTGATTATTATCTTAAAGAGTGGAAATAAGACTTTATGGATCTAAAGCAGGGTGTTATGTCAGTTTAGGATTATGAGCTAGAGTTTCTCCGTCTTAGCAAGTATGTTGTTCGACTTATTGCTACCAAGAAATATATGTGTGTACTGTTTGAGAATGTTATGCATGTTGGGATCCATAATAAGATAACTACTCATCATGGGACGGACTTTATTATGCTTATGGACCGAGATAAGACTGTCAAGGAGATGGTAGATCACAGCAGGAAACAACGTAATCTTAAAAGGAAACAATCAGGTTCTGAGGGTCCTTTTGGTTTTATACTCATCTTGGAAAGCGTTCGAAGGATGAAACTTCGAGATTTGACTCTAGGTCTAGACATGTTGATTCATCTGCTCAGACTAAGAGTAGAGGTATTTCTTCTATATAGTGGGTTGTTTCTACTTGTACTTATTGTAGTACGCAACGTGATGGTGAGTGTCGCAAGAAGTTATGAGTGTGTTTCAGGTGTGGTTTCACTAAGCATTTTCTAAGAGATTGTCCACAGCCGTCTCCGATATATTAGACGCCTACTCGTTCCCAGGGATCATATAAGACACCGAGGGGTCGTAGTCAGAGACGACCCGACTCATCTGGACATGAACTGGGTTCTTCAAGTATGAGGCGATCTGTCAGGGTAGAGGTCTTGTGGCTAGGTATCCTTGTTCTTGTTTATGCTACGAGACGTCGTGAGGATTCGGATAAGCCAGACGTCATTAAAGGTACTTTTATCATTCGTTCATTTCATTATTTTGCTTTTCTTGATGGCAAGTCTACCTATTCGTATGTTGCGAGTTTTGTTGACTACAACCTACACATTCTGGTTGAGCCAACCTGTCCTGTTATTGTTCAGTCTCTTATAGAGCGATTCTGAAGACTTTTGATAATGGAGAGGTTGTTCTGATTGGTGAGCGAGGGGTTATCTGTCAAATGATTTGTCGGTCTTAGTAGCTAAAAATGATTTAAAAGTGTGTCATAGCGTACCTTGGTTATATTACGGGATCAAGAAAGTCTACTTCTGGAATTGAATAGATTCGTACTGTAATAGATTTTCTAGATGTTTTCTCGAAAGAGTTGCATGTTTTACCACCTAAGAGGGAAGTGGAGTTCGGAATTGAATTGTATCCGAGTATCGTACCAGTGTATATGGCATCTTATCGTATGACACATAAGGAATTAAGAGAGCTCAAGGTTTAGTTATAGAAACTGTTAGATTGAGATTTTATTTAGCCTAGTACCTTTTCGTGGGGATATCAGTTATGTGTGATAATGTGATAATTTTGGTACGTAATTTGTGCAAGTATACACATCGAACAAGTAATAAAGTGATGAGTGAGTATCGTCTCCATAGGGATTGGGGGATATCACTTGAAATATGAACCAACTAAATAAGGATGATATGAACAAATAACTGTGAAGGTTGAGACAAGTATCAATAATAAGAAAATGTTATGACAGTTTAAATGAGAAATGATGTAACAAACTATAAGTTGAGAAAAACTGTAGAAATAAGACCACAATCTAACCTCACACAAATATAACTACCAATAAGGCTAAATGGCTAGGTTTACCTTGGGATCCTATGTCTTACTCTCAATGAATGCCAATAATTTTTAGCCTACATTATGCTCGATAGAGTCTTCTAAGTTGTTTCTAAACTATCTTTATCAAGAAACCTGACAGAATAATACTAAAGCAATACCTTTTAGTGTAAACCCTAGCAAGATATTATCACTTAAACTCTACTCCTTTTAGTCGTTAAAACTTTATCCTTATCTCTAAGAAAAGTTAGGGTTTTTCTAAACAGATCCACCCCATTGTTCACGTAGATCTAGGCTTAACTCTCTTGATATCAAGCATCAACTAAATATAAAGACTATTTCTCGAAAGCTCTTACATATCCAAATAATAAAACAGTGAACAAAGCATAAAGGTAAACTGAAAAAAATGTTATGATATTCATCAAAAGCCAACTTAAGTTAGTTCATGGCTGGGTAACAAGCATCCATTATCATTCGTTTAATACATCCCATTTCAAAAATAAATGGAGGAAATAAAAGCAACAAAAGGAAGGAAGAAGACTCCCAAACCGAGAGTTGTAGTGGACACCGTGAACCACCCTAAACGTTGATGCTTCAAAGTCCAACAAGCTTTATCCCCTTGGAGCTTCAATAATGGAGGTCACCTCGTTGGAGAAGAAAAAGTTGAAGAGTGGTCGACTATTCTTTTTTCTCTTTCTTATCTCACGTACTACTCTCCCATAAATGTGGTATCCTTTTGTT